AAGAAGTGAGAGGCACGGTATGCCTAGAAAATCTAGACTTAGCTGGCCTGTCATGCGATGCGTACTGCTTGTCTGCATAATATGCCACACCCTCCCTACTCATTCGCTCCCGTCTGCATTGTTGGTTCGTTTAGGCTCTCCCATTCTTTGTTTCGCTGGATCACCATCAAATTTCTCAACTGGCGAGGTTTTATGTTTAATTGGTCTGCACTGCACAGAAGCAGCAATATTCCATTATAACCGACTCGCGTGACTGTCTGATTGCGCAATAGCAGTATTTTTTTCACAAAGATAGAGAAGGGAAAAAAATGTGGTTTTAGAATAGTGTCTTTATAACAGACTTCTCATTATTTCAGGACTCGTTATAAGAAGACTCCACTGTAATATCTCTATGTTTCACACTTTTGAACAACGGCTATATTCTTTTGTTCACAGAACAAACTCCCTTTCTGTTCTGCTGTCATGTTTTGCTATCTTTTCAAATTCAATGAAAGGATGGATTGTCTTGTCTTATCAAAATTTGAGCTTTTAATTTCTGTCAGTGCCATTGGCGGTACTCTTTTCTGTTGCTGCATGATACAATATTATTGCAATTTTCTAAGTCCTGTTTCAAGTATGCGCAGTCTGGAAGTTTTTAAAGCTAAGCTAACTAACTATATGCACAGATCAAAATTTGAAGGAACCTAAAAACTAACAATTACGGTGTATAGCCTAATAAGGGAGAGAAATTTTGGCACAGGTATGTGGAGTGATCGCTTCATTATCCACCAGAACAGACTTCCTTTTTTACTTTTTCTCCTTTTTTCATTTGTAAAAACACTATTCAGGGCTTATCTTTCTGTTTGACTTCCATCTCTGTCTTTTAGGGGCTTGAAATTGAACAGGAGAGCTGATCGGTGTGCCAAGAACTTTGTATTTTCCTACAGTGTATTGTTTATTTTTGAAAGAAAGTGGGTTATTTTTTTTTTTACTTGCTCTGTTGATGGAGCATTCATTTTCGGTCCAGATGTCCAGCGTTTAGTTATGAAGCTTTTTATACTCTCTGCAAAAGGGGATGATTGAACGTTGTGCATTTTCGATTTTCTTCCTGTCTGTATGTCTTACTGTTTTCCTGCATTTTAAAAATAGCCATTAATGCGTCAATGTGCTACTTTTTACTCAAGCAAGAACTCTCTGCAATGCAATTTTTAAGACATATTAAATCAACAAAGTGTCTTTTAATTTATATATAATTTCTTAAAAGGAACGTAATGCTGAATATTTTACCAGAATTTCCTATGCAGGGGCACAATGATTATCATCATGCATCATATAAAGTCACATTAGAAAACAATCCCTTTGTTGGTCACAGATCAAAGATTTTTTGCATCATGTTTGATTTGCCGTGTTACAAATTATGAAAATTCATGACAATACTGTGTGGAATTAAATATATCATTTTTCCAAATGTACGAATAGATGAAGGGTGCGATTAACAGGTCCTTCTTCAATAAAACTTACATTGCTTCTGTTTGTCTGTATTGCTCTTTTCCGCAACTAAATAACCATTATCATGTCAGTGTGCCTTTCTTGAACTGAAAAAAATGACCTATTTTACTCATTATTCAAATTTGAATCATGGTGCTTTTCGATGTTTGTCTGTGGGTGGGTGTTTATGCAACGGTGGGGGGGTGGGGAGCACAACCCTTTTAAAATTACTTTGTGCACGCTCTGGGGGAGTACACTGTGTTACTTTTCTATTTTCCCCACTTGTTGGCCACATCTCACCACATCTTACCCTTTCACTCCTTGGCATCCCCTTTGGCTTCCTGAGAGATTTACAGGCCACACTCAGAAATAGTGTCTTGATTCG